CCATCCCATGGGATGGGACATTTTCAAAAGAATTACGTTCCATCCCATGGGATGGGACATTTTCAAAAGAATTACGTTCCATGGAATGAGACTGTTCCATCCGATGCGAAGCTCTAATGGAAACGTATACTCTATAAATGCATTACGATAAGAAAAAAATGCTCGTTTATAAATGTGCATTGCCTGCTTTTTTTCGAATAAATCAATCGAAAGAATATTTCGATTGAGATTTATTTAAATAATATTTGACTAAATGAACAAATATAATTCATATAGATATGCGATCGAAATTTTTGTCAGTCAGTGTTGAATGATAAATTCTGTGTAAGTATTCAATGTTCTATCGAATTGGTTGTCTAATATTTGACTAAATTAAAAAGTCAATATTAGTTTTTATTGAGTTATTTATCTTTTAATTAATATCTTCATTTTTAATTCGAAAATGTTTATATTAACAAGACTCGATTAATCAAAGAAAAAAAAATCATAGTTTTTCGTTTTTTTTTGTTTGAAATAAAAAAGAAATAGAAAAAATGTATTGAAAAAAAATGGAACTTTCTTTATTATTTAAGTTGAGATTGATTGATTCATAGAAAAACTTGTCGATTGATAAATATATTTTATTTGTCGAAGAATATTTCATATTTAGAAAATAAATGAAACAACAAATTTGTGCTACCGGATATAATTTAACAAAACTCTTTTGACTTTGACGTAAATATATTAATATTTCTCTTCTCTTAGGGTCGAGAATATTCTTATATTTAGTTCGACGATTATATTCTCTATTGTTCTATTTATAGAAAAACGACTAGAATAAAAACGTCTTTTTTTTTTGGCAGTATTATTAGAGAGAATAAAAGAACTTGGAATAATTGAACTAATCAGTTTGAAGTTGATTGTCATTCTTTTGTTAATCTAAATAAAAAAATAAATTTTATCTTTGATTTCAAAGATAACAGGATATATCTATCATATTCAAGGATTTTTATTATTAGAAATCAACATTATTCATATTCAATTTTATTATATATTTATATCATCGCATTTATATTAACATTTCCACAAACTAAATTAATCATCATCATATATTTACAAAAAACCGGTCAGATTTCATCTTTCTTTTTTTTTTTTTATAATGATTCATTTTTTCCAAAGATTAAATTTATTTAAATGAAGCTTTTCTTAGATGAATGCAAAAAAAGAATTCTTTTTCGTAATCTCTAATGTAAGTTGAATATATTATGCAAATAGAACTAAAAAGTTGAGAGAAAAAATAGAATGAGACGATCATTTTCATATTCTATACTTAACTTTTAACCCTTTCGTTACGGGATTTTTCTACCGATAAAAACACTATTGGTCGCTGTAAAAAAGTACAAAGTAAGATATATACAATGCACATACTTGGTGATGTTACAGAAATGACGCTCTATATCTGCTAATTGCAAGAATACTTTGATGAGCTGGCTAAGAGACTGATCCCTCCAAGTAGTTTAACCTTACCCTAACGTATGACGACTTGGAACATAATCAGAGTAAACTAGAATTAGTGTCCGACTATTGGTGTAACCACTACAATGGTATTTGCAACGATATCTTAAGAATGCGCGTTTCATCTCAAGAGCAATTGTCGTCTGTTCGATGCAGCATAAAGATATTTGCCTCAGTATTGCCTTTCGGTGCGCTTTAGGGCTGACACACTTTAATTGTGTCTCCAGGTAAGACCCTTGGAGAGTATGTTAACGCAACAGTGCAACAATCATCCGATAGAATAGATTATGAAGAGTCATACTCTTGCAGAAATCGCATAAAGAAAAAAAGTCATTATTGTAAATAGAAGTAGTTCAAGCAAAGCTCAGTCCGTATATATACGGGCTCCATAAGAAAGGGTTAAATACATTTGTCAAATCTTTTTTTTTTGTCAATGATTATTGACTTCGAGAAGATAACTCGAATTAATAAGGAATATCGCAAAAATTTGGCATTTCTTATCTTTTCAGTATAAACATGACAAGAATTCGTTGTAGAGACTTGATAGTGGTCTTGGTCGAAAGAGCAATGTATAAATATATTTTGTTGAAAATACATATTGAAGGATGAAAAATTTGAAGAATATGTTTGACTAGAAAAGTACCTTGCAATTTAACACAAAATCAGTGATAATAATTAGATTTCATCAATTTATCTTGCATTCGGATTTAGAAATTTTTATGCATGTTATGTATTGGGGTAAACAATGCAACATGCTCTTTCTATTCTCATGAATATATTCGAGTTAAAAAAATAGCAATTCTGTAGGAAAGAGTTTTATTAAAAAGTTGATTTTCCCGTCTTGAACATCAAATGAAGTTTTTCGCGTAATATCTAATAAAAAAAAAGTCAGTTTTGTTTAATATAATATACTTTTATATAAAGATCGCAAACTCTAATTAGACAAGAAATATGAACTTTGACTAAGTTCGATCGATAGAAAAAATCTTTTTTTTTTCGAAATGATTTATTAGTTGTGAAGACATTTCGTTAGAAAAGATCTTTAGAAAAATATCGATTCCTAAGTAAACCAATAAGGTGAAATTATAATTTCAATCTGTTTATAATAGCTTATCGTAGCGCTTCAAGACCCGTTAAAAAAGGGAAAATAAGATGAAACTTCTTAGTGGACCGACATTTTCTTCTAAATTGCTGAAAAGTACGAAAAAATTTTTCTGTTGAAACATCTTTTAAAATTTTTCATCATTGGGGAAGTATTTTCAACGAAATATTTATCTACAGGTTAGCAGAAGAAATGTTTCTCTTATTAATAAAAAAACTGTGAAATCTCTACGAAAAGTTCTTGTCACGCTATACTCAAAAATAAATAAATAAATGCCGAACTTTTGCAGTTAGTCATTATGAAAAGTTTAACGAGACATAAATCATATTTTGCTTGAAATATTTAAAACAATGAATGATAATAAATAGTTGAATTTATATTTCTAGAATAATCAAATGGCCATTCTTACAGGTTCATCGCTTGGTACAATATTACTAATAATAGGTGTATATGCAATGTGTAATGTTATTCAAGTCGTAGAAGGTCGTTTTCTTTGGGATCTAAGTTTATATTGTATTAATTATTGTTCACGTAACAATAGTCAAACATCTCCCATAGGGATTTGTTCATGTCATCGTATTGCATCTTATAATCGTCGAATGGCGACAACAGAAGATATTCAAATAGAACCAAAACAAGATTTTCAATATTATTATTCTCAACAACCAATTTATAATGATGTTCCATAAATTCGAACTAAAAATCCCTTTTTCATTTTAAGAATAAGTTAACAAGAAAAAAAAATATTTTCTCTAAATAAAATATTTTATCTTTTATGCGGTTGATTGACCACCACATTATTCCATAACAATATATAAAAAAATCTCTAACAATAATCTAAAGATTCAATTTCAATATTTCGATAATTGATTCATATTCAATAAAATATACTATGGGATATTTGTAATCATATTTATCAAGTTAAACAAACTTGAATAGATCTATTTCAGTATTTATCTTTTAAACAGTTTTATAGAGAGATATTCAATAACTAATTAGTTCATTAATATATGGGGATGATCAGTCTGGCCGAGTGCCCTAACTAATTTTTTAGCATATAGGTTATATAGTACATCAGAAGGATATGATTTTTTTTACCTCTTGTAGTACTCGCGTAGTACTAGCGATTCATCATTATTTCGATTATTTACCATATCTAAAACCAATAGAATCGAGTGTCTTTCTAATCTCTTTTCGTAAAATGAACTTTTATCGAACTTATTCACTGTAGATCTTACCTGTTGTCGAAAACAACAAGAAAAACTACTGAAAAAATTTTATTAACAAGAAACGATCAGAAACCATAGATAACATATTATAATCTATAACTACAAATAGGATGTCTATACAAATTAAGATTACATAAAGCACAAATAACATGCGCAATTTTAGTAGTCTTACGAACGTCATCCTAAGATCCTCTATAAGTATGTCATAAAATAGCACACTGTTCAATACGTTGATTAATATTTTCAGTAGCTGCTCTTGCGTTACAAATACTTCGATTAAAGTCTTTGTCTTCAGTTGTTAATTCCACCACCACGAGATTTTTTCGCAAAGTAATGACATACTGTTCACCAGTGTACCATTTATCAGTAATAATTTGTACATCTTCTTGTGCATATTCTAATAAGCCTGATTCTCTTAAAATGGTAATATCATTTATACTACCCTAATAACAGTTGGATACATGGATTATTCGATGAGAAAAATCACAAATTATTTGTATTTTAAATGCATAATTAGTTGGACTTTTTGCGTGATAAAATGCTTTACGTTGTGTGGAGTCTTCTGCTTGATAAATTGCAATAAATGTCAAATCGACTATCAACTTATGATATTGTTCAGGTCCATGTATTGTATTAACATCATCCATGTCATCAGATAACAAAATTAATTTCGAGCATATTCATGAGTATAGAATATCTATTACTACTAATAGAAAATAATTGACTGTTGGTTGATTGAAATGGAGCTCTGCTGCTATTTAGCGTTCAGAATAATAATGTTTCAAATACTATAATCTGATTGAAGGTAGATTCATGGAAGATAAAAATGATATGTTTGTACTTTATGCATGCTGTTTTTTTTCTATTCGTACAATATTCTACGAGCGATTGTTCACATATATTGTATAATTATTGTACTTGCTCGATGTCATGTCTAGTGGTCTGCGTGATTGACATTTTTAGTCACGCTCACGATCACGACGGCGAAAAAAAATTCTAATCACGCAGACCACTAGTCATGTTCTATATGGTGTATACAAGACTCATTACTACGACTTCACTCTGACCATGGACGTTGATCTACAATATAAAAACAATAAGAATATAATGAAGTTTTATTATTGTATACCCAAGATAAACTGGATAATGGAATACAAATTCATATGCAGACTAAACAGATTCGCTTCATTTACCAATGTATAGCATTTGGAGTTCTTGAGAATTTGAAATCTGTTTTTCTTTCTTTAGCTGTTGTTTTTCCTTCTGCATATTCTGATGAACAATAATCATATCTATCACAATGTTGACTATAATGAGCATATAAACCAGATTCTTAGAATCAGTGCACCTCCAAACTAACATTGATTGACAGTTGTTGGAACATTTATAACGATCACTTATGACAACTTGACATTGAGAACAATTCCATTCAATTTGTGACGAAGAAGCCATTAGAAGATATTTAGGTGATTGTATCGTTTTAGTGCAAATATTTCAAAGTAATAGAACGAACAAAGGAAGCGAAGAAAGTAGAATAGAAATTACGCAATTGAAATAGAGTGATATGTGGAAATGAATCATATGTTTCAGGGATGGGCAAGTCCAAGTCATGACTCGGACTCGAAAATCGGGTAGCGTTGACTCGACTGTTTGACTAGAGTCATTCCGAGTCGTTTATTCAAAAAAGTCTTTATTTACACTTTTAAAAAAAGAAACCTTGATTTGTACGATTAGATTTTCACTTATTTAGAAATTCCGTCCTAATTGAGTACATTATATCCTAATAATTTTTCCAGAGCTTTTCTTCGACATATAGATTCATGTGGTCGTAAATAATAGCCTACACATATTGTCGAATATGTGCGCTTTTTCTCGCATTTTGGTTTCGACTCATCTCTGAAGGGTGTATACGTGTATGTAATAAACTAAATGAAAACTTCGCATTGCATTACGTGCCATATTCTTTATCACGCTTCAGTATAATTGTTGTATGACAGCGTTTAATCATCGAATTTTTCGTCATTCATTTCACATTACCTATTTTCCAACAAAGGGTGTGAGTGTACGATCTCACCTCATCCTTAAAAAAAAATCAATACTGATCTCTTAATAAGCTTGCTAAAACAAATATATGTGTTGCTGGCATGTCAGCACCAGATGAACATGTGTTTTCTCAAAGTGGTCTTTCAATGAGATTGAATTCTTCACATTTTACAAAAACTAATATTTCTACTCTAACATCTTTTAAATGTAATAAGACATTTAATTTACATAGTAATAAATAATTTTTGCTTGTAAACAAGTTGAAGGTTAGGCTTTGCTTATAGAAACATTATTGTTTTACTGAGGTGTGACGCTGTGTAAAGTAGAAGGCTTGATTTCACGTTTCTTATTTTGTTGATTAGTCTAGATTAATTGTGTGCCTTTTTCATGTGTAACCTATTTTAGTTTTTGGGCTTAAAAAACCAGGACCTAAATCTCGTATATTGAAAAGTTTGTTATTAACATTCTTTATAAACATAATCAGAGAGTGAAAAAATGGCAAAAATAGCTTGATTCGACGCGAATCGACTCGAGAAATTGTTTGAGTCGCCCATCCCTGATATGTTTAACATGATCGGCATATACATAAATATGAGAACTAGAAACTATCTGATGAAGAAAAAATATTTTTCTCTTTATCACCCTCTTTGACAGTGGTTTGCATATTTTCAAGATACAGATAGAATTAGTTCGATTTTTTTTATCGAACTGAAATGGATAGAACCGAGTGAAATTAATGATTGCTCATGAATTTATTATTTCGATTGATCAAAGAGTAATGATCTCTTTTTTTTTCAGATAAACTGTCAAACAATTGAGTTAATTCCAGCACTGTAGTATAATTATGATGAGTTGCTTCGATAAATTAACTTTGATTAAATATGGAATTAATCAGTAAATACATTATTTGTTAGTTGATGATAAATTCGAAATTTTTTAAACCATAAATCAATTCAAACTCTTCGAAATACAACAATTGCAAGACAGAAAATTTTTCTATATGATATCACTTTTCGACAATAGATTATCTTTCGAAGAATATCTCATCTGTTTTTCTCAAAATAGATAGTCGAATACTCTTTAAAAGGAGACATTTATATAAATAAAACAGACTTCGATTTGCCAATATTAAATTGATAATTCCCTAAAGAATAGTTCTGAACGATATCAGAATAGAACAATGATTCATTTATATTAACACTATTAAAATTCGTCATGAGAAGGTTCAATTGTAAATTATTTTCTCGATAGATCTATTGCTCGATTTCACCAATAATTGACTTTAATATAATCTATAGAATTAATAAAGCTTATTGATGAAACAACTCATATTGATCGCATTAGCAATTGTAACTAAAGAGATTTTTTTTTTCAAAAACTGAGTCAAAAAAAAGTTTAAATAAATGTTTTTAACCCTTTCGAGTCGATGAGTCCCACTGGTGGGACCTGCCATATTTTAACAAGAAAATGACTAGAAAAACACTTTCTTTTTCTTTTTCCCTAGGCAGAAGGTTATGTGTAACGTATCATGTGCTCTCTCTGTTATTGTTTGAATTATTTATTGCATAGCATGATATTTCTCGTTGAAACAACCAAGACAATAAAATTTGTCACAATCAGAACAGAAGGTTTTTATTTTCTTTGCTGTCGCATTACTTGCTTCTCTTGATTGTTGTTATCTGATGTGCTCGTAGCAGTCAGCACAGCGTCTTTGAATATCGCGGTTCGACTCTTCTTTTTCTTCGAGCTTGTGGTCAGCGAGTTTGTGTTTCGTTTGGCTAGTTGATTGTTGCTTCGGATCAGGTTTCAGCTTCTCGAATGGCATATCAAGCAGTAAAGATTGAAAAAGACTTTCACGAAACTGTAGCATGGTCATATGGCTTCCGTCATAATTTTCCTTGTAAATCAAATAGGCATTAACGCTGTGCTAGCTACTACGAGAAAATCAGACAAAAACAATCAAGAGAAGCAAGTAATGCGACAGCAAAGAAAATAAAAACCTTCTGTTTTGATTATGACAAATTTTATTGTCTTGGTTGTTTCAACGAGAAACACCATGCTATGCAATAAATAATTCAAACAATAACAGAGAGAGCACATGATACATTACATATAACCTTCTGCCTAGGGAAAAAGGAAAAGAAAGTGTGTTTCTAGTCATTTTCTTGTTAAAATATGGCGAGTCCCACCGGTGGGACTCATCGGCTCGAAAACGTTAAACAAATCTATTGTTGACATGTGTAATAATGACAAAAATCTTAGATAGTTGATTAAGATAAATGAGATTAACTCTATCCTTTAAGATTTTATCGGAAAAAGAATCATTATTTTCGGCATCTACAAAGTAATATATCTCTTTTACATCAAATCGGTTCGTAGTTTTTCGTACCGAATCGAATAGATTGCTTTTTTAAGACTTGAAAACAAACCGATTCCATCACTGGTACGATCACAAATGAGATTTTTTTTCTAGTTGCTTTTTAAAAAAAAAGTTTTCAGATAAATAATTAGTGAAAAAAGATTGCTATTCACTAATTCAACGAATATATAGCTTGAATAAATCTAGTCATATATCGAAATAGAATTCTTATATAAATAGTCGACTAAATCGAATCGAATTAGTATAGTTTTTCTCTTCGAAATTATTGAGTTTACATCAGTATATTATATCAGTTAATGTTACTTTATCTTATATTTTAAAGACAGAATTTTTGTTTTGTCATTTATCCTTTATGAGACAACTTTAATCTACTTTTATTATAAAATCATATTTGGAATATATGTGGAATATTTCTCAAAAATCTTGAGTCAATTTGTGCTTTATTATCACTGATAAATAAATTATTTGTCAAAAAAAGTTAAAGACAAAAATCCAGAAGAATTTTTACTAATCGAATCATAACTAAATAGATCAGTTTTGAAAAAGATAATCCCTTATTCGATACTCAACAGATAATTAATTTTTGGTAATTAGATCAATAATAAAAATCTAAAGAATATCTTTGTGAAATAAAATATCTGTTGATAGAGAATAATCGTTGGTATTTATCTTTATTAATGAGATAGTTCATTGATAAATCTAAACAATATTATTTAGATTTATAAATCTTATTCTTTTCTTATATGATAGAAATATCACATTGATATAATTATTGTTCTGTTGTTTTCTATTGATATTCTCTTAATTGTTATTATCTATTGTCATGTTTGTTTTTCTTTCTCATTTAATAAACATGTTTTTGTCAATGGAATAAGACATTTACAAAACATAGAATTAACTCAATCAAGATGATTAGTCAGGGTGAGACTAAACTATTCGTTTAGCTTCTCATCATATATATGTACTTGACAAGATCAATTCAAGAGAATCTTCTAACACAGATATTTTTCTTCTATATTTAGTTAAAGATAAAATCATCAACTTTAAAGATTTATCATTATTTCAGGACACATGAAAGAATTAACATATTTGAAAATAAATTTTGAGAGTTCTACTTGAAAAAATAGAATTAGATATATTCATTATCTGAAAATCATCTTATATAAACAACTTAAAAGATATTCACGTAAAATAAACTCGAATATATTTATTGAAGAAGATTTCACGTTGAATAGTTTATTTAAAAATCATTCGAATCAATAACAATAATCTATAATCAATCATCAATATTATCTCATCTTACCACTTCAGTATGATATTCTAGAATATTGTCACTATAATCAATATTCTTCATCGCAATTTATCATCAATTTCTCAATAGAAAAAAATCTTTTTTTTCATTTAAATAAATAAATAAATAAATTCTGTTGCTTTATTTTTATGAAAAACTTCGAATATAAGTTAACTAGCTAAGACTATTAGTAATTACGAAATAAGATATAAATGAAATTATTTTGTCATTACTCTACCTGTCGAGTTTTATTTTCATTGCTCAAAATATATTATCATTGATTTTCATTATTAAATAATAAACAAATATCTCTTATTTGAAAACGATTTTAATTTAGACGCAAAGATTGAAAAAAGGATGATTATTAGAAAAAAAACCAATTAATCAACAAGAGAATAAGTCATATAATATAATAAACTATTGATCAAATAATTAAAGTAAAAAGAAAACAAATCAATTCTACAATCTACAAACAATTTATATATATATATATTCACAAATAATTTCATTCATTTTAAGAATGTATCAACAGGGTGTTTGAGTCTATCGGATGTGACTATTGACGAAAATAAGAGTCATACCCTCATTTGTCCCATTATCTATATATTAGAATAAATAAATAAATATTATCGATTATATAATATTAACTGATGTTCATTTTAACATATAGATTTAACAAGCTAATCTTATATTCTTCAATACTCGATATTATTTATTCATATATTTAATGAAATATAGGATAATGGTAAGATGACATCAATAATTAGTTTCAAAAGAAAATCATTTATTCGATGATTATTTACAGAAATAAACTAAATTTATATAGGAATCATAATCAAATATTTTTTCTTTTAAAAATTGAATTAGATTTATTTTCTCGAATGATTTTTCTTCTAGAAATATTTTTCTTTTTGTAGAAATAAAATGAAAACTAATGAACGAAGACTTGTCGGAAGTCTAATATATTTTATTAATTAATTGAATTAATATTCTTAATAAAATGCTGATATATTAAATAAAAAGTAAATTATTCGCAAATATTAATGGCTAATTGAAGACGAGCAGCAAGATCTCCATAATAATAATAAAAAGCTTTGTTTGTTGAACATTGAGATCCATATGTTGAAGGTATTAAATCAACTTCATGTTGTTCCATACATTTAACTGAACGTAGAAATTCTCTATTAGAATATAATTCAAAAATAGATGATTAATTAAATAAAAAACAAAAAAAAAAAACTTACGTGCATTTAGTTGGATATTTGTCATCAAATGAATAATGACATTTACTTAAAATTTGTTGACTTAAACGAGATGGATGACAATTTCCATCTAGATTTATTTATATTATTTATCTTATTTTTAATAAATAAATAATAACTTACTCTTACTAACTTGACAGGAACTAATAACCAATTTCCAATATATTTTCGAATATTCATATGAATATGGATAATGATCACGAGAACAAATTTCATCAACATCAAATATTGAATAAAGACATTGACGATATGATGAACTTTTATTATAAGCTCTAAAATAAAACAAAAACAAAAATTTTTTAATTGTATTAAATTAAAATAAAATAAAAAACTGACTGGCAAAGTAGACTTCCTTCCATAAAATAAGCATTTTCAGGTGATGTTAGATCAAATTGATCATCAATATATTGTTTATAACATTGAAGCATATGCATATTCACCGTATTTTCATCACATTTTTCATTTGTTCTATGTTGACCTAGAACAATATTTTAAAGTTTTCGATAAATTTTCAATTATTTATCTATTAATCAACATTTTTATATTAAATTAAATCTTAATTAATTATTCAAATAAATTAAATATATTTTATTCTCAAATATATATTCACATTCAATTTAATTATTGATCTAAATAAATTCTCTTCGATGGTTAAAAATAAAATAATTCTTAATTGATTATCTTATATATATTGACTATTTTTATATAATATGATAAATATAAATCAAATAGTTACCATTAGTAAGGATAATATTAAGAATTAATGATAAAAATATAAATATATTGATAGTTGTTGATCCACAAGTCATTAGGATTTATTTAAGATAACGATATATATCTTAGATTTAATATGATACAATGTTTTTTTCTCAATTTCTCTTTCTTTTTTTTCCTTGTGTTCCGATCGTGTTTAAATACAAAACAAGGAAAAATAAGAAAAAGCAAGCCATTCTATTTTCACCAGCAAATAACACATAGACGAACGCGAACAGAAAAAAAAAGAAACTGTTTCCGTTCGAATGCCGATGGACATAAAACGACAATGAGTTGAGAGTAACTCGTGATATAAGACAAAAAAATTTTCAAGGCATGTCAATTAGAATAAATCTATATTCTCTTATATTGATTATTATTTTCAAATCAATAAATATATCATTATAAAAAGCTGATCGTACAAGATTTTATTTTCAAATCTCTTTAATATAATAAGAAAAACAAAAAAAAAATTCTTATTGAATAAGATACGTCTAATAGAAATCCCTGCTGTCAGTTATTTCCGTTAAATAGTAGATGTATGGAGTGACATTATTCTCTTTGATATTGAATAAAAGAATTTCTATTATATGAAAAAAACTCTAATTCTTTTCGATAATCTCTCTCTATATATATATATATATATGATATAAACAATAAATAAAACCGGATTTTCTTTCTTATAAATCAGTATGATATTTATTTCTGAAGGTAATAAGATAAGTCTAATATAGGATTCCTATGATATATATAGAATCAATGATTTCATTAAGGAAGATATTATTTCGAAAGAAATAATGAAAATATTCAAGAATTAATTGATAATATATTCTATTTTAAGAACAAATCATAATCAGAAATATAAAAGAAGAATAAAAAAAACGGAAGTTCTATTTCCATAAATGTGGAAAGAATACTAACTGTCATTTTATTTTCATCAATTTGGATAAAATTATACTCTCGAAAAAATTTTTTTCTTACTATTATTAATCGAACTATATTTTATTTTTATTTATATTGTTATTAATCAAATCAATATATCATTCTATTAGAATTTATCTTCTAGATTTAATTATCATTTATTATTGTATCACTTTATTATTTTAATAGTAGATTCTTAAGATTTTTATTTAAAAAACATAAGATTTTAGATATAATTCAAGTGAAAATGTCTCAAGGATAATTATTTTCTTTGATTACAGTTGATTTATTTTTGAATTTCCGATGGACAACAACAATTCAATGTCTCAAGGATAATTATTTTCTTTGATTACAGTTGATTTATTTTTGAATTTCCGATGGACAACAACAATTCAATGTCGCATTTTATGTTAAATTCTAAAACATTGTTAGTTATTATTTATTGTCTATGCTAAAGTAAATAATCTAATAAAAAGAAAGACATTAATATATATCGAATCATTAAATAAGATCATTTTTAACAATATTAATTCTCGAAATCAATCTTTAAGTTATCAAGAGAATTATAACAACTATCACTTTATTTAGCATTTTTTTTTCCATTGACTTCACAACCTAAAGGAAGCAAAAATGAGTCAATTTTATGGCTAATGATCTTGAAAAAAACATATTTTTCCAAGTTGATCATCTTTCCTTTCCTTTGTCAACAAAATCAGTCGATTCATATCTATATTAAACATCCGTCACTCGTTAAAAAGATCTGTTTATGAAATTTTATTCATTTTATTTGAGTTTTTTACCTTTTTTCCAAGAAATATCCTTTAATTAATTTAATATTTTATTTTTTCGAACTCACTTTTTTTTCCAAGAAAATATTTTCAGTAGACGTTTAAATTGAGGTTTTTGCGGCTCTCTTCTCTTAAGTCAGGACGACTGGAGAGGAGAATCCAAAGATTATTGAATACAGTTTCATAGCAATAATAAAACGAATGTCAGTAATAAATCTGATTAGATCATTGTGAAACTTTCTAGACTTAATCTATCAGAATGAGAATAGGACGGACATAGAAATTTATAAACTAATTCAATTCGAAGTTTAAGCAAAAAGTCAACAGTATATGTCAACGTTTGGCAAGAGAAAATATGGTGTGCTCAAAAGATTACTGAAATGATAAAATGAATGTCTACAAGAGGATAATATCGTGGCTGAATCAATAAAAACAAGAATAATATGATATTTTCCGCTTGTTATGTTACCTATCTTACTTAATATATTATGATTAGAAGAAAACAAGTTATCTATTGAATATCTATCTGACAATACAATGAAAATTTTTTTTTTCAGTATAACGATGTTAAATGAATCTAATCAATTGGTAGATTAGCAATTCGAATTGTTATCATTTTCATTTTTTCAAATAAATTTTTTTAACCTCTTGGAGAAAATAGTATAAAATTGTAAGAATGAGAATGTATGAGTTGTACATTTTGATTCCTTGATGATATCGCATTGACAAGTGTTTACATTGAAAAAAAAGAGCATATTCATGTGAGAAATTGAATTGAATTAGAATTGACATATAATTTAATATTAAAATAAATGATTACAATTGATTTTTATTTTGAATTTGATTCATGGAAAAATAAAATTAATTTGAAATTGATTTTATTTCTTTAATTATATTTATAATAAAGATAATAAAAACAAAATATAGAAATAAATTATTCTTTTCATATATTATATATAAGAATCGATTCATTTATATAAAATCTCAGTTGACAAATAAAACAAGAATAACATGAAAAAATGTTGACATTTAAACTAAATTGATCTTGACAAAATCATCTTATTCAATTATTGATTTATTTTGACATAAATATCCTTTTCGTAATATTTTCTTTTTCATTCGAGAAAATTTATTATAAAAGACATTTTTCTTATTCAACTTTAATTTAATAATCCTCCGATTTTTTTATGTCCATTTATAAAGTTACCAATTTCGATATCACCCTAGTCAATCTATTCACATCAACGTACACATCTATTCGGCTACCTTATTAACAGTATGTCACTGGATCATGCTTGAATATCCTCATGAGGATTGTCTCAATAGATGGATACTTACAAAATACCTATACAGATACCTTTCTAGTTTATTTAGAATTATATAATAAGATAGTTCAGTAGACAATGTTTCGACTGACATACTATTAGGAGAGTAATCTGAACTTAATAGATTGACTAGGTTAAACAATAAGATTATTTCACTATAAGAATTTATTTCAAATATCATTTTCATTATTTATTATTCGAATTAGATTTATTACTATTCGAATAAATCATTCAATCACAGTCATCATATGTAGTTAATATCGGTGTACACCAAGTCTTGACCATCTCATATCAATATTCGACATTTTTCCTATGAAAATTATTCAAATTCGACCAAATTTTTGTATTAACTATAATCAATTTTATCCATTCTATTCGTTACTCCTATTAAATTTTAAAAAAACCTACCGAGATTTAGTAAAATTTTGTGAAAATTGTCACTTTTTCCAGAATTTTCTCCAAAACCCTAAAAAATGTTGATACTTTTTTAAAAATTTGATAAAGTTCATAATCACTATCGAACTTAATTAACAATCTTTGATATTCGATATGATTTCAATCGTTTCAATATTTGAAATTCGCCAAGATATATTTTCTTATTTAAAAAAGCAGAATAAAGCAAAAAAAAAAAAATGATCAATATATGTGAATATATTTATTTAATAGAATTATAGTATATTTGTTCAAACAATCAATCGAGAAATATTGAATGTATTATTTACGACAATCGAAATAAATGAAAATCCTCCACCAAAGTGTTACGCCATTATTCAAACTTGTTCGATAAAATTGATTAATAAAACCTATGAAGAAAAAAAATATGAAAAAGTATATATTAAACAAGACAAATTATTTCTAATGTAATTACAATACCTTTATTTGACTCTGTGGCCTCTTATTGCGACGCTGGTCAACCAATTCTTTCAATACAAATAAAACACTCAAATTGTCCATGGCAACTTCGTCATTTTTTTTTCTTTTCTTTCATATGCACACTTACACTTTGTCAGATTCTCGAATAATATATTCTCTTTTTAGGCCATTTTTATTTATATTAACAAGAAATTTTTCAAAATACATTACATCATATTAGAGCCAACAATCATATTTTGAATTTAGATTAAAAACTGTGAAAACTACATTGAATCATGATAATAAATTGTAAATAAAAGGAAGATTTTCTGATTAAACAATCTTAAATAAAACTAATGATGAAACCTTTTCGAATTTAATACATAGAATTATTTAGTCATGGAAGAATATTCATTTCGATACTTTTTCCTATCGGAAGATCTTTACGAAAAAAAAGTATTTCATCAAACAAGTGAACATAGTCGAATAAGAATAATAATCATTCGAGTGAGATTACTGCAATGAACCGAAAACATTCAATTATTTTTATTTTAGAAAAAGATAATTACCAATATTAACAAATTAACCTGATTTATATTATTGCAAAGTTAAATGAAAACAATTTAACAAACGAACAATAAATTCTAATCAAAATAAAACATCTTTCTTTCATAAATTATCATTTTTATATATAATAAATACCAAATAGATAATCGTCCTTTAAAAATCATCAATCTATTTGACAAATAAATATTAAACGAAAACGAATATATTCAAAAAAAAGAAAAAGATCATCAAATAAAAAGCACTATATTACATGATTTATCTCTTGTTTATCCTCAATTTTCATTAATTTTTGCTTTGTTAACTTAATTATTTATTCTTACTTTTCACATTTATTAAATAAATAATTATTTCTTGTTCATTCATATTGATAATTCTATTTCTACGTCTCACAAAGACTAATTTCATATGTGACATTTTTTAATAATATCTATTTTACTCAACTATCGATCTGTTAACCTACGTTTATTACATAAGAGAGAGAGAAGCATACATTCACTTGATTAATTTTCTTTTTTTTTTGATCAAATTTCAACTTTATTTATATTGAGATAAAATTTTCTTTCCAACGAATAGAACCACGCAATCACATCAAAAAAACAGGATGCACTATCATAAGAAAAGTCTAAGAATTCTAGAATTTGGACCATTTAACAATACTTTATCTATCAATTGATTCTGAGTAAGATGAGTAACTGGATCGTACCCAACTACATCTCAGCCATGCACAACTGATACAATTTGTCTAGGAAGTACGACGAGTCATCACAAAAATGAAGACTTTCGAATAACTATTTGTTTTGTCAAGATAATAATGGAAGATCATCAATGAGAAATACACAGAAAATTGTTGATAGACAATGATGTTTTCTCAACAGATTAAATATAATGTTAGATGAACGTCAAGTCTGATATAAAAAAGTGAAGTATCCGTTATTGATTGAGTAAATAGAGGATGTTTATCATAATCAGTAATGATTAATCTCATAATAAAATTTTATAAGAAGTCAATTGTCTATTGTTTTCGAAAGCAACTCAATTATTCGTTTTACTTGTTGACACATTTCAAATTGATTATTACTATATCCTAAAGATAATAATTAATATCTCATGAAACAATGACTTGCACAAAATAAATAGAATTGTCAACGAATTTTTATATGAAAAAACAACAATAAGTCCAAGGATGAATAACAGTCACCAATTCACTCACTGAGAGTCACTTTTTTTCTTTGTGCACTTTACTTTTGTCCTTTACACGTCACAAATGCAAGAGATAAACGAGCACATGCACTTTTCTTTAGGATAATAACGTCCATGACCAATAAGAAACAAGAGTGACTTGCACATCAACAAAAGTAACTCGTAATAAATCCCTCCTACTTCTTCTAATCCATAAGTATATTCGTTTTTTTTTTCATTGTTCTCGATAAGTTTTGAACGAAAAAATACAAGACGACTTCGAAGTAAATAGCTCAATGTGTTTTCTTATTTTGCTTTTGAAACATACATAGTTAAATATAGTTGATCATCTCAATCACTAATTCGATATTGATTAGTGATCGTTCGATGTTTTGAAATTCATATTGAAAAAAAAATCATCTTTCGAGAATAGTCTTGAAATCTAAGATACCCAAATTTTCATCTGTCTCTTTCGTACATTATGTCATATTGTATCTAGAGACATTGTAGTTTTTAAGATCTGTATGTTGAAATCAAGTGATTTTTCCATAAAATCCTCGAACTATGTTAATAGTAATGCATTAACATGATCTAGAAAGTAAAAAGATAAAAGTTCATTGATTTTAAAGTTTTGAGACGAATCTACATAGATCTGTTTTTCTTAAGATTAATTCGGTTCTCTTGTCCATATAAAATAATACGTTGAAATTTTCTACTCTTATTTGGATTTTTATAAATGAAATCTAATATACTTTTCAATCCCTTAAGGTTGGATATGGACTCTTGACGGCATTCTTTTCTTTACCAAAAAAACCAATGCTCAAAGTTCATCATGTTTTATGTTAACATCTTGATATTGTCTAGTCATTTTTGATTCCAATATTGCATAGTGATTCATATCTAATATCATAGATTCTACACAAATCTTATATGTACTGAATATTGAACCTTGTTAAAGTAATGTTAAAATTTGATAAGTTCTTCTTTGTTTTAAATCTTCACGAAACATCAATTTGTTCTCCTTATTTTATCACTTACAAATAAAAACTTCGAAAATTTATCTCAAATTCGTATGGTAATAAATGTTATTTCATTGAGAAAGTTTTTATTTTAGTGTAAAATAACTTGGTTAAGAGAGCACGAAAATGATATAATATAGTCGAAGTAAGAGGACATTTTTCATCTGTTTTATTTCTTGTAGAAAATGAGTGAGAAAGAGCGTGCATTAATTGCTAGAACACATGAACAATTCGGAACATGTTTAACAGCTGAAAGATTGAAAAACGACTTGGAAAAATTAGGCGTTTCATCTGGAATGACATTATTGGTTCATTGTTCATTATCGAAAATTGGATGGATTTGTGGTGGACCTGTTACTCTTACACAAGTCTTACTAGATTTGTTAGGTCCAGATGGAACTCTTATAATGCCATCTCATACGTGTGATAATTCGGATCCAAAATATTGGCAATATCCTCCAGTACCATCTGAATGGTTTGATATAATTCGTCAATCGACGCCAGCTTATCAACCTGATATAACACCAACACTTTATATTTGGGAAAATTAGCTGAAACATTTCGAAAATGGCCAGGTGTTTTACGAAGCGAACATCCTCAACATTCTATGATTGCTTTTGGTCGTAAAGCAAAATTAATAATTGATAAGCATTATGATTCATGTAGTGAACAATCTCCATTAGCTCGTTTATATGATTTATATGATAATGGTTATGTTTTATTATTAGGTGTAGAACATGAAAATAATACATCATTACATTTAGCAGAATATCGTTTTTATATAAGAAATAATATTGAGAAAAATTTTATAAATGGTGCATCGGTTATAAATTCTCAAACAAATAAACCTTATTGGTTTCAATGGAATGATTATGATTATCATTCAGAAGATTTTAATCAAATTGGATATGCATTTGATTCTATTCAAGGAAATACGAATATAGGAAAAGTTGGACTTGCACAATGTAGATTGATGAAGCAACATTTATTAGTCGATTTTGCTATTAACTGGATGAATCAAAACAGAATGAAATAATCACTATTTGAGATTATAGTTTTCATCTTATTTTATGAAATACATATAAAAAATCTTATAAAGTAGCAATCAACATTATCTATATTCAATATTCTTCTAGAATTTTCAACGTGTTTTCCTTTTTTTTTTTGATCCATCAATCAGTAGAATACTACTTATCCTATTTAGATTCAGTCTAATCGACAATATTTATTTATTTAAATTTTAAGAGCTAATCATAAATTATTCCTTGTTCATATAAATGCTTAAGGCTCCCTTCACAAATCGATCTCAGACCAGGAACGTCCAAATAGAACGAAACTTTCAGGATATGTTGAGACTGGTGAGTGATGACTATAGGAAAATTTTTAGCCTTGTGGCACGATGTTTAATAGAGATAATCACCAAACAAGAGTCAAAAATAGTTCGATTATATCTTCAAGTTTTCTCTGTGGGTCTTCATTCTAGACATTTAATTCTTCTTTGTTCTTCAAAAGCACATCAATATCCAGTCCCTCTCGTGGTCCTTCTTCTAAAATTCTTACTTTTTAAGCGAAGAGAGGTGCCCAATAAAAATTTTTGTCGTTTATGAAAGAGCAGACTACGGGCTATTTCTCCATGAGTTTATCTCAATTTTGATGATTCTGACGAAAAGGGACTTTTTTTTATGGAGCCTTAAATAACAATAGGTATATTATTAACGGATGACTTCCCAAATTTTGATATTTTTAATAGATATAATAGTTTGACATAGTCAGAAATAATTCGTTGAAAGGTAATATGACTCATATCATTCTCCATTTGTATATCATCAATGAGTCATATTCACAATTCGCTTGTTGGCCACGATCATATGTAAAAAGTGGTCACATATTGACTTAATTGTTGCTAAGAAGGGCCTCTTTTTTTTCATCCATCTTTCTCAATCGTCTTACTAGTATATACTAGCAAGACGATTGAGAAAGATAGATGAAAGAAAAGAGGCCCTTCTTAGCAACAATTAAGTCAATATGTGGCCACTTTTTATGTGTTCTTGGCCAACAAGCGAATTGTGAATATGGCTCATTGTAAAATGCGGATTATCGCTAATAAGGCAGCGAACTTCTTCAATACTGTTAGATGTTGTCTCGGTTACAAATCTACCAAATCGTGGCTCATCTTCAAATATGTTGTTACCCTTATCGAAACGATTTTAACCATTTGTCAACTGTATTATAAGATGAAGGTTAATCGGTAAAAACAGAATATAAATCATAATGAATTTATTTCGATTGAATGCTAACTGTAGTGGACACCTTTATCTAAAAACGAAAGTTTTTCTTATTCATCTATAACTAATGATCTATAGTTTTCATTAAAATATTTCATATGATTATATTACTTAGCTAATTTGACTATTATACGAACATGCAGACCACTCTTTCTACTACATATATATATATATATATATATATATACGGATGAAATTTTTTCTCCAATCTTCCTGTACATTGATATAATATAAGTCTAAATAGTTTTGGTATGTCCTAAGAAAATATTCGATATTTCGACTGAATTATCTTCTAAATGATACTAATCAAAAGACAAATTGAAGAGAAAGATCGACAATAAAAGAGAGATTTATCGATTGAATAAATAAAAAAATCGACTATTTACATATTAGTTTAGATTTTAAGCAAATAAATTTTGAAATAGTTTTTTCTTTTTTGGGATCAAGATCCGATTTGCTACCCTAAAAACTAATATGATCGAAATCAAGAGCAGGACTATTAGTGAAACCATTAGAAAACAATTTAACATAAGTATAACTGAAAAAACTATAGTTCGGCATATATTTAATAAGGATATACACTGTTAAGAGTATTCTCAAACGAATAAAAAAAATCTGTTGATTTATCTATGTACGTCACATAACAAAAGAGATTTATTTTTTCAATTTAACTTGGTAAAAGTACATTTTCTCAAATATTGAACATGTAACATTTATCTTTATTTGTAAATATCTGTTTGAGTCACTCGATTGATAATGTATTTTACTCAACTTGTTTCGATTGTAAATATTTGTTTAAATTGTAAATAATTATATGTTAAGATTTCTCATTGAATTTCAATAGTGGATAATAGATTATAAAAAAAAACATTTAATGATGATTTATCTAATAAATAGGATTTAACTGAATATATTTATTTATGAAAATAAGTCTCTTTTTTTTATTAAGAAAGATAATATTTCAAGAGATTTCTTTATCATT